AAATATTCTCTCTCTGTTAATTATTAATTTAGATATCCTCTCTGAAATCACAGAATAAAAATAGCATTAAGAAAATAAGAAGAAAATTTTTCCATTCTTTTTTCCTCTCAACTCTCACTCAATCATCTGATTCATATCAACCATATTGTCTGGAACAATTAAGATGATTATCAAAAATTCTATGTTTCTTTTCCTCTTGATTTTATCATAATTTTGTCTTTTAGAGTATTTTATTGTAATACATATTTAAATCCTAATTGTATGAGATGCGTCGTGAATATGATACGAAAACAGTACTCAATAATTATGCTGATACCATCTCTTATACTAGAAAGATAATATGAATTAGCAAAAGAAATAAAAAGATGGCAAAATCTCTTATATAATTCCGAGCCAAGAAAACTTTATCCAAGTTAAGATGAGAATTGACAGTGGGGTGGGGGAGAAGGGGGGGATACGTATACACACAAACACTTATATAACTCCAATGCTTTCTATATTATCTGAGCCGCGAATTTTATTCCGCTTAACTATCAGCGTAATTATGACATAAATTTTGAATACGGACAATTATTTTACGCCAGTAGTAATGCTTCGAGGATTTGCTGCCGACGATGCTTTCCTGATTCTTGCGAAAGGGATTTTCAGGATGGCATTGGACAGAGAAGACGCGAAAGAGAGAGAGAAAGAGAGAAAGTAGAGGGTGGCAATTTCCAGTTATAACGGCTAATCCGTATTTCATCGCCTAAACGGCGCTCGTTCGTCTTCGTTCCTCTGCGGTTGAGAGAGCCGGGATGGAAGTCGGAGTCGAGTCGCAGTAAAATATAATTGGGTTTCGAGGATTATCCCGCGGGCGAGATAGATCTCCGTGCGACTGGTTCCACTGGGCGGGTGTTCCCTTTGCCCCCGCGGATCCTCGGGAAGCTCATCACCCGTGGGAGTGCGGCTCATTTAATTCCTAAATAGGTTGATTGCGCGTTATACTAATCTTGATTAATTATATCTCGTTGGATTCACTAGATCTGTTCTAGGAATACCGATCATAGTCTTTGAAATCAATCATTATAGATTTCGAAATCAAGTTGCCTGAAATAATAAGACACTAATATATTATAATCATTATACTATTCTATCAATCTTATCTCGTCTTCCGCAAAATTATTGAAATTGGCTGTAGTAAATATTTCCGTGCTTGATTCGGCATTGAAGGGATTAATGGACAATACGATATATGAATGTGGGCAGAAGATAAATTGTTGTATTAAAATTTGATGACTTTTGTGACTTTTCATCTCAATGCAGTGCATTGTAATTGCGCTCTTCCTTCTCGTTACTCGCGCATGCACTTTCTTTGTATATCTTTGCTCGAGATGAACCACCACTCAGAAAATGTACAGTGATTGTCATTTTTTGGCCATACAATATATTTTATTGCTAACATTGCTACTGCATAGCTTCTGTATTGTTAATAATGCTTTTGCATTTTTGGTATTCCTATTATTATATTATTATCAATATTGCCAGTACTGCCGAAGTAAAAAGTATTTCTAATGCATATTATCTTTCTCTTATATTGCTAGTACGATTTCATATTTTTCTTAAACATGAATTTCCTAAAATTATATTTACTGTACTATCGAAATATATTCCTGATGAAATGTTGCAATGATTGCCAGAGATTGACCCATCGAATTTTTCCGTTAAGCAGAATTTTTTAAAGGATTAAATTGTTATTATTATATGTATATGCTAAATACAGTACCATCTTTTGTAATTTATTTTGATATCTGTATTATATTTTTTACTATTCAAAAAACTTGAATTTTGATTATTCAATAAACTGTGTACTCAAAGTTACATTTAACTACGGACAATTTGTAATAATCAGGATTATCACAAAATCTTTTATTAATGTGTATTTTGATTCTTATAAATCAATGTGTATTTTGATTCTTATAAATCAAAATTATTATGGCCATTGTTAAATTGTTATTATTATTATTATTAAATCTTATATTCTTAATTTGAATAATCTGAATATACTATTTGCTGTGAATCAAACTGATTTAAATATTTATAACGTTATCAAATATGAATATGTTACATATGTAATTAGAATATTTAGAATGATTGTGAGAAATATCAAACATTTTAAATTTTGCAATTATTTGTAAACGAATATACATTTAGCGACGATTCAGAGATAATTTAGGAATATTCAAAAAATTTCCAATCATTTCTTTTATATTATACATTTGATTTTGTAGCTTTAATCGTTGAGAATATTTTGATATGATAAAGATCGAATAAATATTTTATTAAATTGAAAGAATTAAAATGTCTTCAAATTTCGACTTGTCAATTTACTTATTAAAATGTTAAAATATCTATGTATTGCGCGAAAATCTTTTATTATAAACTTTATTGATAAACTTTATTGGTTAAATGCATTTTCATAATAATCGTAAAACCCATTATCATTCATTTTTAAAGTTTATTTTATCGAAATAACTTATTTCATTTCGTATCAAATATTGCCACTTTCAACATTCTAAGTCATTATTCTGATAATATATAACTTATACGTATAATTATAAATTTATTTCTTTTTTAAAGAGACAAAGAACTCCACAAACACTCCATTTTGTTATCATTTTCCTTGAAATTTTTTCTACACCCAACTATACATTTAATAAATCTTTTTTGCGTTAACATCCTATCTGCTTTGCACCATAGATCATGTATTAATATATATATATAAATATGAAAAAAGAAATTTATTCAAACCAAAAAGTACTAAAGAATATGAAAGCTGATATCAAAAAAGAATAAATTATATAAAAATGTTTAATTTTTATGTATAAATATAAATATCAACATATAATTATATATAATTATAAATGTTTAAAATATATATATATATATATATATATATATATATATATGTTTAAAACATTTTTTAACTTTTACAGTTGCTACTTTTACAGTTTGATAATCCACAGCTCATAATCTCACCTATTAATAATTACAAAAGAAAATACGTAATTATTACATAATTACAAATGTGCATTAGAATAAATATTAGTAGAAACAGCTTTCCGATTCCTGCAGGATATTTTTGTGAATTAATAAAAATTAATTCCATTAAAACGTAAATCATCGGATCAATGAATATAAATTAATTGAATATTGTAACAAGCTTTTTTAAATGTATTGGAATAATTATAAATTAAACAACAGATGCAATATTATGCTTATGTAAAAATGCTATTTTATTTATAAAATTACATCAATTTTATATTCCTTTCAATTAATGCGTCAATAAATTGATTATGAAAACCAAATATTGGTTTAAATATTTGTCCATACAATACGTTTGAAAAATTATTTTTGTAAAATCAATAATAGATCATGTCATATAATATGTAATGTTACTTTAACTCTTTGTCAATGTTTGATGTGGAGACGATTAAAAGAAGAAATTACGTTTCGAAAATTAATACATATAGTTGTAAATTTGTGTTACATTAATGCAGCTGCTAGTTTGCACTTTTCTGTCGATTTTGTCTACTACTATCTCCATATCATTTCTTTCGTAATTTCTCTAGACTTCTCGAAGAAACGTAAGACGCTCGAGTTCCGGAATGATTATAGTTATCAATGATTATAAATCATCCGGAACATATTTCTCTTCCACTTTTCATTTTTCCTTCCTAAAATTATTATGTTTATGATTATAATGTTAATTATTATAAAATTAAAACACTACAAACAAAATGAAGAATATGTTAATTGTATAGATCCGATTAACAATTATGTTTGATTTTAGTGTTACTTTTGACTTTATAATAATAATAATAATAATCATAACAATAATAACTCTATAAACTCTGTAAATGTATCAAGCAATTGAACTATGTAATTTATAATTTTTACAATCCTGAGTGTTTTACGTTTCGCACACGTGTTACAACAAAAATTAATACAGCAATTACTCATCATAAACACATTACTTCTTTCACTTACTTTTTTAGGTAGCGTTTTGAAAAACTAATAAGGGTTTAAATATTTTTCCTTACAATACGTTACAATACAAAATTATTTTTACAAAATTAATAATAGGACCTGTTATACAATAAGTAATGTTACTTTAATTCTTTGTCGATGTTTGACAAGTAGAGACTGGATTAAAAGAAGAAGTTATATTTCGCAAAACAATCGATTCTACTATAAATTTGAGTTACATTAATGCAGATTAGTTTTCATTTTTAGCCAATTTTGTCTGCTATCCCCACTCTTTTTGTTTCGTAGTTTTCTCTAGACTTCTCACGCAATAGTAAGATACTCGAGTTCATGAATGATTATAGTTGTAAATCGTTCTGCACATATGTCCCTTGCACTTTTTATTGTTTCTAAAGTTATTATAATTACTATTATACTTATAATTGTTATAAGTATTATAAAATTAGAATACTAAAATGCATATTAATTGTATACAAACAATTAAATTTCGTGTTTCATTTCAGTGTTACTTTTGACCTTATAACATAATAATAATAATCATAACATTAATAATTTTACAAACAATGGAGCAGAAACTCTATCTGATTTATAATTAATATCATTCTAAACATCTGAACATCTTACTTTCCGCGAGCAATCTAGATGTTGTGAAACAACAGAAGTAGGAATAGCAATAACTAAAATTGGCCAAAAAGTATTAACCACAGGCTTGCATTAATGTTACAAAAAAATCAATATAACTCTTTTTTCTTATTATAGACGCAATTCTCTCACTTATTTTTCAGGTAATATTTTATGAATCGTCAAATTTATGAAAGCAAAGTCAATAATGTAATCAAAATCATAATTAAGAGTTAAATGCTAATAATTAATACATGTATAACTAATACATGTAGCGATATTATTAACGGACATAGTCTAACATCTCTTTCAAAATTTTTAAGTTTGTTTGAATTATATTAAAAATTGTTTTGGTGTTTTCATTAAAATGATCTGCAATCATATCGACAAGAAAGTCTTTGCCTGTGTCTTCATTTAAATTTGGTGTCTTCATTGGTTACGATTTAAATATTGGTTATGATTCTGAACTAGAGGTCGAACTTGACAGTTGAATTAATGTTGCTTGTTGTAGCAGTATCTAATTATTTTTCCTCAGTCTGAATCGTCCGCGGAACTGGATTTTCTGCGTTTATATTGAGGTTCCTCTATCTGAGTGCTACCCTCAGACCTGCATTAATGGTACAACAAAAAATTTATATAAATAACACCTTATTATAGACGCAATTTTCTCACTTTTTTTTCAATGTTTTACGATTCATCAAATTTATGAAAGCAAAGTCAATAATGTAATAAAAATCGAAATTAAAAATTAAATTCTAATAACTAACATATATAGCGATATTATTAACTAACATCTCTGATATCTTCTTCACGACTTCTTCTAACGTCTCTGACATCTTCTTCAAGACTTCTTCTTTGCGTTTCCTTGGAAACTGAGTTGACTCCGAGGAAACCTCTGAGCTACCTTGACGGCTGAAACCTGGACGATCAGCAATATCGCTGCTTAATGTAGGATCTCTGACAGTAGAATATAAAGGACATAATCTGTACAACAAAAATAAAATAAAAATTATATTGGATTAATTAATAGTAAATAATCTAGTTTCAATTATGTGCGCAATATATATCATCAAGATATCAAATTATTATTTTTTAATCCAATACTTTATTTTCAAAATGTCATTAAAAAAATCGAACTATTCGATTATTCTTAAAAATTCCACATCTAAATACAAAAATTTCTGTCGGGTTATTTAAAAAATTTTTATACTTATTCACAATTTATATTTATATAATAATTTAACCCAAAAATATAAAATATTTGTCGTAGCATGTACTATAATTTCATATATCTGAATTTAAATTTTTTTCTATGGTATACCTTTCCCTTATTATATGCAAAAGTGTATAAATTATCCAAAATAAATATATAAATTATTCAAAAGAAGTAAGTTAACAATTTTTGTTCTGTTTCACTTACTCGTTTGGTATGATAGCCCAAGGAAATTTTAGAAGTTCTTTATCACCGCGATGTTTGTCCTGCAAATGCTTTACGAACATGATTGCACTTTTTCCTCGATTCTTATAATCACCATTATCACATTTCTTACATATATATACATCAATCACTCCTAATTTCTTGAAGTCACGATAATCTTTAGTATGGTCTTGTATCACATTATTAATTCGTATCCAGCTATCTTGGTCAACATCATGCTTTTCTTTTAAATGTGATTTCATTTTAGCCGTAGAATGTAGGAATGTGTCTTTTTTAACCTCCGTACCACACTCAATAGACATTCGATGACGACAATCTTTGCATTTTACCATTGGCTGGAGCATATTACCAGTTGACTGTTCTGTTATATAATATTCATCCCAATTTACTTTATTTAAATTAATTCGTCCAGATGGAAAAAGTAAATTAAACTTTTTAACACTTTCCTCATGAGCTTCGCTATTCGTTGTAAATAGATGATCTTCTAGACGTTTTTGATTAGATATCAGAGGCCTCTCATGATGATCACAAAGATTACATGTTGCTTTACACATATTTTCTAACGTAAAATAATTCCACCTCCACGGCATGATGTCCGTTATGTATCACAGATCGTGCACAACTAAATACGATATAAGAATTATTTCAAGCAAGAGTGTACGAAGAATATAGAAGGTGTGTAGAAAAAAGAAGGAAAGGTCGCGATAAGATGTGTGATTGTTCGTATGAATATAAATATTGACTGTCTAAATTTGCTTAACTTGCCTGTTTGCTTGATGTGTGTTCGTTTAACAATATTATTTTATGATAGATGAAGGAATTTTCATAAAAAATATCAATAATTTTATACGGATAATAAAAGTCGTTAAAAATTAAAAATCAATCACATTAGATGTCCTTAAAATCTAAGTTATATATTATATATCTTTAAAATTTATGTATAAAGTTATATACTTTCTTACTGAATATGTTATTAAATTTTTAAATAATTTCTGATAATCTGCATTCAAATTACAATTAAAACAATAACAATATAGCAAGCAGGTATCAAATTTTTGAGATTAGATATTATATATTATATTAATTTAATAATAAATTCTGAAGTTAACCATTTTTCAGTTTTTATTATTAATATGCAAAAATTGTTATTTTATTAGAATTTTTAATTAAAATATTCGTAAAAACTCAAATATTTAATTTTAATTATTATTCGAATTAAAAAATTTTTGCCCCATTACTTATATGTTCAGTTCTATATTTTTTGGTTTCAGAAATTAGTGGTTATATTCAAATCATAAATAAATGATAAATATTTCAACTATTGTATGTAGATAAAACATTAGATTAAAAGGTGAATTAGAACAAGCTTGATTTTAATACTTTTGCCAAAGTGCGATATTTTTCGAATAATATTTGTAAAGCAAATGTTATTAACGTCTGAATTTTATATTCTCGTTTAAGTGCTCGTTTATATACACACACACATGAAGCTAGAAAGCTCTTAACATCTGAATATAAGCATATATCCTGTTTCTATATACAGTGTATGTCTGAGATAAAGTGTCAAATCTAAGAAGTCCTATATCATTTTCCAAAGGACCAGGTAAAATTTTAAAATATTAATTAAAGAAGATCGGCCAATGACCGCACGATTCACTTGGTTAAAGTGCATGAGGTGCAGATGCCAGAGACAAGTGTCGCATAGAAACGAAAAGACAAAAGTCTAAGTAGGTACGCCCGACCAAACTTTTCGTTGCAACTTGACACGCGTCGCTATCACATCTAGAATCCTACATCTCACAGAATAATCGCTGATTAGGCGCTTATTGGCCTTTTAATTATCTCTTTTAATTAATATCTCGAAATTTACATAATTGTTTAAAAAATAATGTAGGATTATTTAGTTTAACGAAATCTACTATTGTATATTTTTAATAGGACATTTTGAGACTGTCAGATACCCTGTATGTACATGTATTATGTATCCCATATTTAATTATAATTAAACATTACAGATAAAAAAATTTATCTTGTATTTGTAATGAAATATTTTACATTTCCATCTCTTTCCTTCTTACCGACATCTAAAACATTTAAATGAATTTATTAAAGATTCTGTATATAGGAGATTGTCTTATACTATTTACTGATTAATAAAATGATTTCAGCATTGTTTAAATATTTAAAATTTGTTTATATTGGAGCAAGATTATTTCCTGTACTCTCTCTGTATTTCTCGCCCTCCCCTCTTCCCTCCCTCTTCTCTTCCCTCCCCTTTCCTTTTCTCTCTCGAGTTTTCATGTATTCATGTAATTTAAAATAATCTGTATATGTGTTTGCCGTATGTTTAATGTATAAATTCTATTATAAATATCACATCATGCTTTATGATTGTTTGGTATGTAATGTGAAATATCCTCATATATTCAACTGTTTTCTTCTTAGCATGATATTCGAATTGTGCTACAAATCATGCGTTATTTAATAAAAGAAACCATCGAACAACGAGTATAAAAGTTGAATTTCTTATATTGCTTTTAATACATATAATCATTGCATACGTTAATATATTATTTGAACAGGTAAAAATATAAGATATAAATATCCACATTTTAATCAATATAATACTCATTTAAAAATTGCTCCTACAAACACTATAATGACAGATTCCTGTTACATAATCTTTTTGAATATATAATTAATTTTTTAAATAACGGACATATAAAAATTTCATGTACTTGAGGCACTATCTAGTACATAAATAAAAAATTTATATTTGGATGAGAGAGAAAGCATTTTGTGTGTGAGTCTTGTTTCATAAAATTGTTTTATGTTATGTTAAAAACGCAAGACATATAATTATATATCAAAACATTAAAATTCTTCCGTTAAACATAGTCATTTAAATCAAGTAAATATCACGAAAGCTTATGATCTATCATACATTATGTAAATATTGATGCGCAATTTTAATGCTGAAACTGTCTAACATTGTCACAATCATTTTATATTATAATACTTCCCATTATTATATACACCTGATTACAACTATAATATAGATTCACAATTTTAAATTTGCAAACAGGAAATATTATAGATTAAATGTGGCATATTTATATGAAATTTTTATGTAACTTTTATATGTAATGCAATCATTGCATACGTTAATATATGCAGGATGTCACTGAATTCAGTGCCAAAATTGATACAACGGCTTTAGGACATAAAAACAAGTCGAAAATCGTTAATAAACATATATTCAAATTCCAATGGTTTTGGACTTATAAAGTAATAAAGTTGCCTTCTTACGAGAATATATATTGAGATAATTGTTGTTTAATATTCTTTATTTAATATATAAATTTACACATTTTTGTCTCAATATAACACACATGCAAAAAATTGCTCCTACACAATCTATAGTAATAAATTCATTACATAATCTTTTTAGATATATAAATAGCATTAAATGGCGGATATATATAAAATATATGGAAAAATACATGTATAAAAATTTCATATGCTTGAAATAATATCTAGAACAGAATTAAAAAATTATATATTTACAAAATAATTTTGATTTTTATTTTATAAGATTGTTTTATGTTATTTGTTACATTAAAAAACAAGCAAGATATATAATTGTATGTACATCAAATGTTAAAATTCTTTCGAGGAGTCAACCACCACTCAGAAAATGTACAGTAATTGTCATTTTCGACAATTCAATACATTTTATTGTTAGCATTATTATTGTATTGCTTCTGTATTGTTAATAAAGTTTTTGCATTTTTGGTATTCCTATTATTATTTTATTGTCAATATTTCCAGTACTGCCGAAGTAAAAAGTATTTCTAATGCATATTACTTTTTGTCTTATATTGCTAGTACAATTTCAATTCATATTTTTCTAAAACATGAATTTCCTAAAATTATATTTACTGTACTGCCGCAATATATTGCTGATGCAATGTACAATGATTGCTAGTGGTTGATTCCTCGATTTCTTCCGTAAAACAGAATTTTTTAAATGAGTATTAAATTGCTACTATTATTATATGTGTATACTTAATGCAGTACCGTCTTTTGTAATTTATTCTGATATCTCTATTATACTTTTTATTGTTCAAAAACTTAAGTTCTGAATTTCTATTTATTCAATCAACTGTGTACCCACAGTTACATTTAACTACGAACAATTTGTAATAATCAGGATTATCACAAAATCTTTTAATGTGTTTTGATTCTTATAAATCAAAATTATTATTGTTATTGTTAAATTATTATTATTATTAAATCTTACAATGTTAACTACGTGAGAATTCGAAATCATGCAGTTATCAACAATATAAATAATGAACAAATTAATTTTAATAGCAATACAGGTCAAGGGTTGATCTTATAACACAGTTAACATTTAGTTATTTATTATACAAACAAATAAATATGAAACAAATTACAATGAAAAGTTTGCAATCGTTCCGACCTTATTTTTGGGCGATCTTCAGCACAAATGGGATGATGTGATAAAAAATGAAATTCTGATTTGTTTTCTGCTTATTTGTTTGTATAATAAATAACTGTGTAATCATGTCGACACATAACTCGTATTGCCATTAAAACTGATTTGTTTAATTTTATATTTCATTTCTTATATTTGTAATAATAATAAAGATTGATTTCTTTCCAAAAAAGAATTACGTCAGGTTGTTTAAATTTATGCATTTTCAGAAATTACTAATTTGAATTCTAAATTATAATAATAAACTTGAATTATCAAATCTAGTATTTGCTGTGAATCAAACTGATTTAAAAATACTTATAAATATCAAATATTACATAATCAATATATTACATACCTAATTAGAATATTTATAATATTTAGAATATTTATAATTGTGAGAAATATCAAACATTTTAAATTTTGCGATTATTTGTAAACGAATTTATATTTAGGGACGATTCAGAGAAGATAATTCAAGAATATCGATAAAATTTACAATCGTTTCTTTTATTTTGTACATTTGATCTTGTAGCTTTAATTGTTGAGAATATTTTGATATGATAAAGATCGAATAAATATTTTAATAAATTTAAGAATTACTTAAAATATCTCCAAATTTCAACTTGTTAATTGGCTTATTAAAATGTTGAAATATCTATGTATTGAGCGAAAATCTTTTATTATAACATGATAAACTTTATTGGTTAAATGCATTTTCATAATAATCGTAAAACCCATTATCATTCATTTTTAATGTTTATTTTATTGAAGTGACTTATGTCATTTTATATTAAATATTGCCACTTTCAACATTGTGAGTCATTATTCTGATAATATATATTTAACTTATACGTATAAGTATAAATTTAGGTCTTTTTTAAAGAGAAGAAGTACTCCATAAATACTCCATTTTGTCTTATCATTTTCCTTGAAGATTTTTCTACATACAACTATACATTTAATATATCTTCCTTGCGTTAACATCGTATCTGCTTTGCACCATAGATCCTGTATTAATATATATATATATATGAAAAAAGAAATTTATTCAAACCTAAAAGTACTAAAGAATATCAAAGCTGATATAAAAAAAGAATAAAT